GGATTTAACGCTTCACTTCCTAGATCTGCAAGACTTTTCAATAGATCCTTGTTTCCCCAACATATATATTGCCGAGATAGCATTTTCTTCCAGGTACTCAATTGGGTGGATTCGTGGAGGCCCTGGCCCTAAGAATTTGTCCAATGAATCTAATCGTCAATAAGATATAGAACTAGTGCCCCTTCGCTTGATTTCGGTTCGAGTTTATTTTGCTCGTCAGTCGTCTTTCGTGATGACACTCCACCGAATAACAACAACAAACCTCCCGTCCATCAGAGTGCATGATCACCACGCCCACAACATGGATATGAGCAGTGAAAGTTATAGATCTAGGCCACTCGCCATACCTGCACCCAGAAACATTTCTCCGACGTCAAGTCGCGCCAGCTCTTTCCATGACCAGCCCCCTCCTCCACCATTGCTTTCTTTACTCCCGTCAGGGCCGTCGAATCGTTTCGAGGAACGACAGGCGAGTTGGAAGGACGGTGATGATGGGGATGGAAGTATGCCACACCGTTGGTCTGGTGATATAAGAGATCGGCAACCCTCAAGTCACCCGATTTCGTCATCGCGAGGCTGGGGAAGTTTTGGGAGAAGATCTCGGGATTCACGGCATGCTTCACCTGGAAGCTTTGATGAGCTGAATATTAAAAGAGAGCCCAGTCAATCTTGGCCGGATGATTTCCGTGGGAGGCAGAAGCCTTCAAGTCAGTTGAACAAGGAGTTGAGTAGACCCACATTACTGAAATCAATTGCATTTGTAACGTCTTTGGCCCATACCTCTATCATAAAAATTGACATATGATATCCCTTTCCACATGAACCCCGAAAATTTTGCCATCAAATGGTTGTTTATTATTTCTATTGCCCTGGACTAGTTGGGACAAAATTGTTGACATGTGCAATGACGCTTCTGCGTATTTAATATGGCAGACTTCAAGGTGTAGATTCTATGCGAGTCGCCATGCAAAGATCTGTTCGAGCATTTGACGAAGGTCTTATTGGGAAACTCAACGATAGTGCGAGATCGGCTCCTTCGCCATTACCGAGGCAGCGGATTACACCCCCCCGCGAATCTCGGCCAGTGACTGTTGGCTCCGCAAGTGAGGATTTGCCATTACCGCTGACAAGCCGCTGGGAAATTCCAAAGGGTCAGTCACGAGGTGGCTCAATTTCAAACCCTATACCGATTCCGGGGCCTGGCTCACTCAATACTCCACTTCAGAGGTGGCAGCATACTCCCTCGGTCGGCGATACTTCCGGGTTGGGGGTGGCACCAGAACAGCATCCTCCCGTGTTTCCATCATTTTCAGATATTCGCAACTCTGGCGACACTGCAAGTGTATCGTCATTTGTAACAGATAATGAGGGCTATTCAAATGCAGATTCACGGATGCGACGGTCAAGGAGCGCTTCTATACTTGCTCCCGGCTATGACGATCCTCCATCAAGTAGTTACGATTTATATCAGGAAGACACTGATTCGCAGATGGGCGATGCGCCTTCTCATGTCTGCCAAATGAAGCGACTTACGCTTGAAGCGAGGACGCCGCCAAAGTCAAACTCTTATCCTACTAACCATCACCATCAAAGAGCTGGTTCGAAAAGACGGGCTTCCTCGCCTCCAAATGAGGATAGGCAAATCGGAAGTTCGGAGCCTACTAGAAAAGGCCTGCATTTGGAAGGTTATGGGAGCAGCGATATTTACGATCACAGTCGGAGGACATCACCGATACATCAAGGTGTTAGAAACTCGCCAAAATATCAGCATTTTAATAATTCACCAATTCCGCGATCAGCATCGGGGTCATTTGCGTCTGCTTCTGTATCGTCTGTGGCAACATGGTCTACATCCCTTGGTCAATTTTCTGCTGCAAGTAGTTTTACTACGGCCGGGGGTGCCTCACCAGCCTCCTCATTTTCCCCACCTTTGGAAATGGAGATTGTTGGTGACCCACCATTTCGGCAACCGCCGTCCTCAACGAGTGCAAAAGGGCCTAGCAGTAGTAGACACAGACAAATTCCAGAGGCGTCCTCGGCGCTTGGCGGGAGAGACAGAGAGGGTGTTGCTTCAAAGCACCACTCAGCCCCCAAAATGGATGTATTCATGTGTGAATGTTGCCCTAAAAAGCCGAAAAAATTTGACACCCAGATGGACTTGCAGTATGTCCTATCCCTGAATTTAAATTTTGGTGTGTTCTGACAAATGTGTAGATTACATGAGATGGAGAAGCAGTACAGCTGCCAATATTGCAATAATCGGTTCAAGAACAAAAACGAAGCAGAAAGGCACCAGAATTCACTCCATTTGCGGAAACACTCGTGGTCGTGTGCGGCGCTCTCAAGCAATTACCCGGCAGCGTTCCACGCTTCCCCTCAGCACCCCTCTACTTGCGAAATTTGCGGTTATTGTGGGAAGGAATTCCCAATGCCACCACAATGGGATCAGCGAATTGAACATTTGACTGGAGAGCACAAGTTTGGAGAGTGCAATCAGTCCAAGAAGTTCTACAGGGCGGATCATTTTAGACAGCACCTAAAACACAGTCACAGTGGGACCAGCGGGAAGTGGACGAACGTCTTGGAGAACGCTTGTATGAAAGATGAGATGCCACCAACCGCTAACAGCCATCGTGGCAGTATGGGGTCTGGCACCACAATGGCTATTTCAGAGGAGGGTTCGGAGTAAAAATGCATAAAGCTTTTCTGCACATTTTTGTTTTCCTGAAGAATTGTTGCTTTTTTTCTTGGCTCGTTTCTTCGTTCTTCCCGGGTTTTCATGTCTGTTCTTTTTTTTTCCTTGTTTTTTTTGAACACTTTGATTCGCCATTTATGGCCGCACATGTCAGCGGGAAATAGGACCCGGAGAATGGTTGGTGTGTTGAAGGGTTTCCAAAAGGAGTTTTAGCCATGCTGACTGCATGCGAAACTGCACTTGACGCGCGCTGACATCAACACGACCGCTGCGGCTATGACGGACTTTTGGAGCAAGCGATAGACGCGGTTGAACCTGGTTGGGAAAAGTTTATCTATTTTGTCGATTTTTATGATTTTTATGATTTTATTTCATTTGAGTTTTTTCATCGATTTGGAATTTTTCCTCGCCTAAGATGGTACTTGCTTTGATTTGCTTTGCTTTGCGGACTTGGCGACAAATTGGTCTCCTAGGATGGGGTACGGAATGGGAAGGAGGAGGAATAACGCACTTTTTAAACGACATTTACGACACTTCTGCGAATGAACAGCATCTCGATTGTTACCAAGCAGGGTTTTCTTTATTTTATCTCTTTGGGCGTTTTACGTTTATTTCACGAGCCTTTTTTTTCTATTCTTTTCTGTTATTTTCTTTTTCTTTTTGGAAGTCGTTGTTTTATCTCATGCTTTCAACTTCGATATCACAATACGCGATGGGAGGGGTTCTTGTTTTATTCTGCCTTCTTGCCTTATACCTACCTCCTCTCCTCTCTCCTCTTATAAACCTTTTGTTGAATTCTTCCTTTCCCCTTCATCTTCTACGCTTTAATTTTCCGGAGTTAACGGTTTGGCGGAATGTTCTGTCCCAAAGCATTTGCCGGTCTTATTTCTTTTCACCACCTTTTCCCTTTTATATCATGTACTAAACTTCAATGCCTCCGAATATCCATCTATCAACCTGTTTTTCTTCCACCTTCTACTCCCTCCCTTTTCCTCCTCCATTGATGGGGTTTAATCGCCAACCCGTTGGAAATGAGAATCCCCCTTCGCCTGCCTGCCCTGGGAAGGAGAGGAAAAGAGAAAGAGATATCATACTTTCTATCGAGCCATTTCTTCCATTTCACCTATCTATCATCTTACCCATTTTTTCTAGTCCCTATTTATTATTATTTCCTCATTCCCTACAGGCGTTCACGAAGGTGGTGTTTTTTCATAGAGGGGAGCGGGGTCAGGCCTGGTCGGTCGATCGGTGAGAAGAGGAGTTTGCGTTCGTTGTCGTTTGATCTGGAGATTCCTCAGTTGAGCGCCATGCATGGCTCACGAAGAAAAAGTCGAAGGGAGAAAAAAAAATGGTAATGTGAAGGGAAGGCAGGAAAGAAAGGGGGGAGGAAAAATCATCTTCATTTGTACATTTCCATTTTTTTGTTTTTTCAACATTACGGGGTTCATCTTTCTATACATACATACTTTGGCCTGGGTTGCCTTTTTTTTATTTCCTTATACACCATATCGTATTATACCATTATCATCGCCATCATCATCATATTTTGGAGAGAAAACCGAAAGGGAGCGGGAGTGTGGATTTTGGCATGTATATTTTTTTTCTTTTCCCCTTTTTCTTTTTCTTTATTTCCATTTTAGTTTTTGTGCTTTCACTTTTTGTTTTACTCGTTTTTTTAATTACGTCCGATTGGACAGGGATGGGATAAGATGAGATAGCTTGAATCAGCAAGACTTTGTTCAACAATTCAGCTCAAGACAGGCAATCAAATACTGTATAAGAAGAAGAAAAAAGAAATGATTTCCCAAACAGGTTATTCTGATGCATAGAGTAGCACTCGACACAGTCAGCAGTAGATCCCCAGATCCGATTACCACATCGAGATAGTCGTAGCGGGATTATGTACTCGTTTCTGGCAATAAGTATTTGGAAACCGGGGGGGTAAGAAAACATTCCTCAATTGAGAAACATGCACCAATCAACCCGACCACAACCTTTGTCATACCCTGGCCACTCCCCGGTCACTCACCCCCCCTCCCGGGTTTCAGGTACTTATTGCCAGAAACAAGGACGTCGCTGACGGCACACGGTAGTTGGCTGCCTGGAGCGTTCGCGACTCACGGGTGTGTGGGCGGTTGGATGGGCAGTTATTCGGTTAACCGGGGGGACCTTGGATACGAGTGCGGTAAGTTACTTGGCAGGGCTAGGGTATGTATGTATGGGCCCTACGAGTCGGTTGGTGACTGACATAAGACCCTGGAAATAGGGCATTTGGTGCAAATGAGGTAGTAAAAGCACATCGAAGGCCTCGCTAGCTCAATCGGTAGAGCGTGAGACTCTTAACGGGAGATTCATCTCAAGGTTGCGGGTTCGACCCCCGCGTGGGGCTTTCCTTTTTGCCTCTTCTTGTTAAGAGGTGTTTTCTTTTTTTATTTTTATTATATATATTTCTTAAGGTTGTGTGTGGTTGGTTAGGCGTTACTGGGGAGATGGGGAAGTATTTATTGGCTATATCATGGTATCTTATTCCTACGGTGCTTGTCGGGCTTATCACATCTACCGATTGTAACTATTTCCAACGCATGCCTTACGCCTAAAATCTACTAATCACCAATTCCATGATACAAGTATCATGCCAGTTGGTAAGTACCGTAACTTCGCCATATACGTGTCCGTACCTATTGCGGGTCATGCGTAATTAATGCCGGCCAACAAAACACACTCTTGGCCTAAAACTCCGAGGGAAAATCCGGAACGCATGGATCTACCTTCCTCTAATAAAATAATAACTTTGCCGATTTTGGTACTGGATAAAGCTGAATTTCGGGGGCGATGACTGATAATGGGTTTGGTTTGCTTGTTCACCTTTTGGTATCGAGCTTGTAGGCGATGGTGGAAACCATGTTGGGAGGTATGATACGGTATCTCCTTTTAAAAAATTCCAACACTATTGAATCACGATAGTGGATGGATGGATGGGATTTTATATAAGTCCTGTCAGCTCTTGAAGGGGGGGAGAAAGAGGTGAGTGAGGTCTCGGATCTAATAATCCTCTACGGTATTCCGATTATCACACTAGAGAGAACCTCATCTCTCACTCCCCATTCTGTACAATTTTGGAAAAGACCCCGACTGAGGGAGGAGGTACAAAGCACGGTACTGTAATTATGATTATGCAGAGCTGTGAGCGCTCCCCCGAGTTGCGCTCCGTTGCTTGCCTACGTGGATGTTAATCAGTGTTTACTCCTCACCGCCTCGCTAGCTCAATCGGTAGAGCGTGAGACTCTTAATCTCAAGGTTGCGGGTTCGACCCCCGCGTGGGGCTTCCTGAGAAATCTTTTTTTTTGCCCCGAATTGGTGGCTGTTTTTTTTTTTCTCGTGGCGAGGATTATGACCATGTTTCGGAGTTTTTGCTGTCCCATGATGATGATGATGATGATGGGGGTTTGCATGTTTTTCTTTTTGTAGCTGGGGATGATGTAAGTTATGTATGCAGTACTCGGAGTTTGACGGAAGTGGCTTACTTGAGCTTACGGTATGGTATGCGGTAAGGCGGGCCCGTTGACAAATATTTTGTCGGAACTTGTTAGGGCTGAGTGTGTGATATGTATACGCGCAGGATGAGGAAGGTTTTAGGTTTTGGTCTATCTTTCTCTCTGTGATGGGGGTGCATACCCTTGTACGTTAGTCAGTATTATACTTCTTCAAGGGTAAGTCAGGAATTGGGGGGGGGGGGGTTTGAACTCTTTATGATATTTTACGAGTTCACCAGTTCGGCCATTAGACGAGCATATACGGTACCGTAAGGGCTGGCCTCCATCGTTTCTCAATTCAGTGCTCACAACATTTTTCATGCACCCTACCATTATTATTATTGTTGCCGGGTTCGTCATGGCAATCCACACACTCCAAGATTTGGACAACCGGTATCGTGGACTCCATGCAGCGAGCAGTACGACGACGTTCGAACAGACACAATACATTGGCATTCCTGAGAATGTCTATTCATCGCTGCCTTGCTAGCTCAATCGGTAGAGCGTGAGACTCTTAAGTTATCCTAGGGTTAATCTCAAGGTTGCGGGTTCGACCCCCGCGTGGGGCTTTGATACACAACGATCTCTTTTTTTTTTTTTTTTTTTGTTGGTGCTGTTTTTTTTATATTTTTTTATTTTCGTCAGCGGGCAGAGGGTTTGGGGTTTATAAGGCTCCGTGATGCGGGTATGGGATGACTGTATCTAGTGAGTAGACATTGTGAGTTGTGAGTGGGATTTTTGTCTAAAGAGGAGTGAGTGCTTGGGGTGGAGCGCAAGATATGGCATGATATGGTGAATGAAGGACTTGATATAACACCATGGATATAACAGCCATATAACGCTTCACACCAGCCTCGCTAGTATCATAGCTCAATCGGTAGAGCATGAGACTCTTAGGCCCCGTTTGATATGCCCGAACTTTTTAAAGTCTAGACTTTGGAAATGGGCCATACCAAACACTACAGGATTTAGACTTAGACTTTGATTGAATAGTAATGATTTATGTATCTGATGTAAAATGATAAAGATAAGATCAAGGTAAAAAAAAAAAAAATCTTTTTAGCACATATGACACTATCACCATTCTGCTTCTCAGTACAATTATTACAATTATATCAATAATTACTTTTACAATTACTCTTTTCTACTCCATCCCTTTTTTTTTTCTTTTTCTCTTTTTCTTTTGATCAAGAGAATTAGCTATCTGTAGGGTAGAAGAAAAGAAAAAAAATTACCAAGCAATCTAAAAGTTGTTGGGGCTAATGACCTTTACTACGGTATTTACTTTCTATAATTGGTTTTTCTACAGAAATCCTAATCCAAAATCCTGATCTAATCCAAAAAAAAGAAAATCCAGTCCAAGTCCTGGCCTACCAAACGTGATAAGACTGAAAGTCCAGACTTTTAATACAAATCCGGGCGTACCAAACGGGGCCTTAGAGATCCTCCAGAGTCCATCTCAAGGTTGCGGGTTCAAACACGTATAGCATCTCTCATCAGATACAATTCCTTTCCACCCCCCCCTCTTTTTTGCCAGTACTGTGATTCCAGAAGCCGTTGTCGCTTTTTGAATTCTCAATTTTTGAAAAAAAAAAAAAGTTTTTAGCCTTTACTAGCTTCAAATAAGCGGCAGGCCCGTTCGGTGGTTTGGCGGCTCGAAAACTTTGAAATCCTCAGAAATCTCCTACCAACTTGCCCGCTTGCATACAAAACCCAGTCCGACACCAGGTCTTCTAGCGTCGGGGGGTAGCCAAAACCTCGAACACTGGCTGAGGTTTTCGAGCTAGTGAAGGCTAAAAAAAAAAAAGAGAATTCAAAAGCGACAACAAGTTTCTGAAATCACAATACAGTGTTTTCATACATAGCGAGCACCCGGCACAACGAGCACTGGCTCACAAAATTCTTTGAGCCAAGGTTTAAACCCATACAACCTACATACCAAAGACCAGCCAATAAGTGGCGAGTGCTCGCTATGCCGGGTGCTCTTCCCTCTCCATTTTTTTTTTCCTTTCCTTTCATTTTCCCAAAGCACTAGCATGCATTCCCATACCCCGGTAGAGCTAGTCAGTGAATTGGACCAAATAAGACCAGGCATATAGAATTCGAGCAAGTGTTCAAAGTCCGAGTAAAATCAGTAATCACGAGCTCCAAAAAAAGTAAATAACAAGTCAACACAGTAAGGCATGCAGAAGGTATGTGACGTTGGGTGTTGTTCATGTGGTTGTAATCCCCTAACTCTTCCTTGGTTTTTGCCTTGCCCCTAGTTTAGGGTATGTTAAGAGGGCGGGAAAAGAATGAAAGGCACAAGGAGAAAAAGAATGGAGGTGAGGACTGGAGAGCGCCATATAAGCTAGCCCTATCGTGTTCCGTCTTTTAGCGGTTCCACCACCACCCTAGGATTTTAGGGCTGCTAGACTGTTTTGCCCAGCCACGGGTCCAGGTCTGGGGGGGGGGGCGCTACCGGAGTTTCCGAGAGGCGTAAAGTGGGTGCCCGCCATCTCAGACAGAATGATCAAAGCTCTACCTACCTACTTCACAGTAGATCACTCGAGTACTATTGCAGATCTACAAAATTCTTCCGAGCTAATCCGGTTCAAAGATATGACTAAGGAAAAAATAATCAGATGCCATCCCTGTCTGCGTCTGTATCTGGGAACCAGTTATTCTGGTTGGTGTGCTTGGAAATCCCAGGTTTCGACGAATGAATGTGCGCCATCGCACGAAACCCGATCAATACAACAATCGGAGCCGGAATTATCTGGCTGGGTGCAGCACGGTAGTTACCTATGGTGGTATTTGCCGACCGGCGTCGTAGGGCTGGTCAAGATTGGAAGGAAAAGAAAAGAAAAGAAATCTTCCGGTTTCTATCTTTGGGGGATGCAGAATGACGTGTGGGGGTGTGGGTGATGCGGAACTTCCCTTTGGCTGAAGGAATCAAAGAAGGATGGGAGGACCGTCGAATACGAATGCGAGAAAACAGGAGTGTGTGTGTGTGCTTGTGCTTGTGCTTGTGCTTGTGCGATATCGGGATGAATTCACGGGTGTGGTGGCGGTGGGTGGTGCGTATTGAGATTTGCACTTTGGTGATGTGGTGGTTTCGACGCTTCCGAGTGATCCGCTTTCTGCGAGTATCATATGCAGTCGACTGTGACCCGAGAGGTTCCTTTTGGCGCAGTGGTTATCAGAAGTAGGGGGAGCCAAGCCGCGTTTAAGCTTAGCTTAGCGCAGCCCTAAAAACTGCACAAGTGTACTCGCCTGGTTAACGGCATGGCAATGAAAACGGGTTCTCCTGGTGGATGAATTGTGCTTTTACAGTATCATTCTCAGGTATCAATTCGTCAAATTATGGGTGAATGTTTGCGTAGCGATCCCTATGGTGCTGTATAAAGACTTGATCAACTGTCTTTCTTTTTGTGGGTTTGAGATATGGTATCATACCGTTATTGGCTGTAGCCGGGTTTTTCCTGAAACAGTGCGATTAAGGTGCATTAATTCAACCTAATACCACCAATTAACTCGGTGACTGTTCCTGTCCGATGGTAACCTAGAATATGATGTCTAGTCTGGAATTCAACGGGAATATCGACTTGATTGGGCCGTAGTTCAGTCTTCTAAACACATTTGAACCTAGAAGAGGGGTGTAGGGCAGGATTCACTCTTCCGGAAAACAAGATTCCGGGCACTTGTGGCGTTTTCCGTTATAATGCCACATCGGGTCTTGGTGCACCTTAAGATTCGTCCAGCCTCGCAAGATGTCAAAACAAAAACTGCGTTCTAAAGTGCTGCTAAGGGGTGGAATCGTACTGTGCTTGTATCAACCCTTCAGATGCTTATTGGCCAAGTCAGAATAAGTTAGTAAGTTACCCTCCAAGATGGAACCCCAGAACACACTCCGTAAATAAATGCAATATCCCGAAGATTCCCCGGTAGGTGCCCCTATCGTACTTGAGTAGAAAGAAGACTAATTGGAGTGGTGGAGGTGCAGTCACGCGGAGCGTTGAGAAGAAGTGCATTAGCTGAAACCCGGATTCAACTCTTCCTGGTTGATTCCGGACAAAACACTCACCGACGGCATTATATCATCCGCAGAATAAGGTATTCCACAGTACAGCCAACCACTACGCGGGCTTGAGAAATACGGTACAATGGATTAAACTTTAGTCATGATTATACTTCTACAATACAGTACTACCGAGTAATAACCGATTGGCCAAGCAAAAGCCCATGTTAGTTAACGGTGATCACTCGTGAAATCAGTCTAATCAACTCAACCATCCACCACCGACGCCATATTAATTCGATCTCAAAAAGTCACTCCATACCAGTGATATAATGTGATAACTACCGTAAAACCATCCCAAACATCCAAGTTACACCAAAACATTTAGATCCAAAGAACATTCCAGGTCCAATCAGATGCACCAACGCTTGACCACAAGATATTATGGCGCTCCCCCCTTCTGCTATAATCTTGGGGGATCCAGAAACACACCATTACGCAAAACTTTACAACATCGAAATAAAGTGACTACAGGTTCGACCTCTTGGTACACAGCTATCACGGGGAAAAAACCGGTTTCACACCCTCCCCTTTGGGACACCGGAAACACCGGAAAGCACTTCATTCCCCTCAACCCACCCTATTCGCCTTAAACAGTACCCGGGAATCGCGGCCAGCTTACTCCGTGAAGATGCCCAACGAATAGCCATTGCTGCTATGCAGCTAACTCAAGCCTATCAATCCCAAAGGAGAAGGAATTCCGTGAACGTTCTGCCATTCATCCTTTCCAATTGCTAAAAGAGATATCTGATATCTATCACCATCTGACCTATCGATGCTACGGCGTTCACGCCCAACCTCCACATTGGATATTCCATCGATCCCTCGAATCACCAATACCGGTACTATAGCGTGATAGATTAATTATCGGGATACTGCTACCGATAGGCTACCGCTTGTTCATAATAACGAAGAGATATGATACTCTCCAGCCCTGTGCTGTGGATATCAGCCGGGAGATGGAGGGCTGTAATCGGAAGCGCAATCCGACTCGAGTGATACTTTGTGAACACTTCTGATTTGAAGTTCTTAGGAGTACACAGTGAATTGTAGCGCACCGAGAAGCTGGTATGATAGGAGAGGCGGAGACTGTACGGTGCTAATCAGACAAGATCATTCATCCTGGGCATACCTCCGACATCACTACCGGGTGTGAAGGGTAAGTCTGGCGACCTCTTGGCGGTGTTTACTATGTATTTTGCTGCCAAGAGTTCGTCAGACTTTTTTTTCCAACCCCTAATTAGCACAAATCGCCCAATGACGGAACCAACAAACGAACGTATGATACGAGTAGAGTACGCTCGGTAAAATCTTATCTACAATACCAACTTTACCTTTCTACACCTCATCGTATCATCTTCAGCAGTATTCCTTTAACCCCCGAATTTAGAAAAAACCTCGATTTTGACAAAAACTTATCCGTATAATAAATAGTTCACACGGCACATTCCCAATTCCAGCTCCCAACCCGTTATCTCCCCAGTCCCCGGATACCAATACAATAACGTC